AAAGACAACTGACTTGCCAGCATATATTATGGCTATGTGTGCGTCCCATTCTGTTTATGGAGCACTGTATGTTACTGATATTTGTGTACAGTACTCGATCTGATGGGTAAGATGGCGTACTTCAAGAAGCATTGGCCAGAGGACCTGCAAGATGAGGTCCTTGCTTGCACAGAACTAGAGGTATGTTCTATTATGTGGTTGCTCATTTTGTATTACTGATCTGGGACTTAGTTCAAGACTCGCTATCTTGCAATGGGAAAGTCAGTGACAGCTGTGCAACTACCTGTGAAGAAAGGCAAAGCCCATGGCCTCAAGAAACTCATTCGTGAGGCTCAGAGCTCAGATGAAGATGATGACCTCGGTTTTTGTGCATCAGCAGCCAACATTGATCCTTCTAGGCCCTGGTACACCGATTTCAGACACTATCTCAACACTGTCGAGGCAAAACCACCATCCGGAATGAGCACGGTCGAATGGTGGGGGGTACATATATAATATTAAGTACATTCCTCATCACTGATGTTTACTTTTTACTTTTTGGTAGATGAACACACACAGATATGGGCCAGTATGGTCCTCCATTGCTCAAGATTATCTCTCCATTATGGCAACATCCATTCCAAGCGAACGCGCATTCTCCCAGGGGGGTATCACCATTAGCAAGCATCGTAATCGCCTCAAATGCAACATTGTTGAGGCGCTGCAATGTGTCAAGTGTGCCATCTGTCACGACCTCCTTTTCCACTTGCCTGGTCCATCATCATCCACTGAAGAAGCTGACAAGATTGATGTTGAACCAGATGCTAATAGCAGTGTGGTGGGTGAAGGTGACGACAAAGATGGTTGGGACATCTCGCTGCTGGACGATGATGAGGATGATGTAGATATTGTTTGATTTTTGTTTTATCTACCCACTAATCATTGAATTCATTTGCCTACCCTTGTGTTGGGCCAGGCCGGGCCAGGGCCAAGCCATTGTTGAGGGCTTTGGCCCAGCTTGCAATTTCTGAAAGCCCAAGCCCCCCAAGCCAGGCCAAAGCCAGGGCTTTTGAGCCAAGCCAGGCTGGAACATCACTAATTATCCCTAGTGCAGATTCAGTATTGTGCTTTTTTGTGCGATTGTCATGCTGCAGATGTGTGGGATATCTAAGGGGATGCTGATGCCAACACCAAATACACCTTTCAGAATCACCTGGGGGGAAGTGTCATTGAGTGTGCAGCACACTCTACTTGTGGTGTCATTTCGTCTCAAATCAACACTCTTGACTTCTTTATTGGCAATACCGATCACCGCCCTGTCCACAATGTGCTATCCCTATCCGCACCTGATGGTCAAAGTACAGCTTTGAACTCCTACAGTGCAAATACTTCATCAAAATTACCCTATCTACCCCAAATCTTGAGAGCGGAGTCGTTTTCAAGTGTTCGCCAATGGAGTGGACCATCAATTACTCGTCTGAGGACTTACAGATGTTGTTGTTTCTGATGACTCCTCCTTTGATGAACTTTATCACAAAATGACTGAAATTATGCGTGACACTGCTAATCTACATTTTGAGAAACCACAGTCCAATTCCTGGAAAGTGTTAAGACCATGCACAAAGGGTAGGACTGATTCCGAGGGGCTTGGCTTCAGCTCGTGCGCTGCGCCCCTTACCCGAGTATGTGCCCTTAATTTCAGAATGATGTCTGAAGGATGTCCGAAGCGCGGGAAAGTTCGGAAGGACTTTCCGGACGAGTGCGGGAAAGTTCCGGAGGAACTTCCGGAAATTACGATGAGGTTTCGTCCTGATACGGATACGTGTAATGGCTACTTAGGACAAGTCCTAAGTAGAAGCAAACAGAGGAAAGGCTGCAAGGACAAAGTCCGAAGCAGAATAGGTCCGGAGGACCGTGGGAAAGTTTCGGACGAACGTCCGGAAACTTCGGAGGATCGGATGAGCGGATAAGCGAAGCTCTGGCCTAGGGAATTTCTCCCTAGGCCCGAGATGGATATTGACTAAGTCGATAGACTAGAACTGATATGAGGACTTAGAGTGAGATCTAGTGCGAGGACTAATATGATATTCAGACTGAGGAACTACAGGACATATACAAGAGTTTATATACTAAGGAAATAACGGAAAGATCAGTAAGCAAGCGTCCGAGGCTATGTATGAAGCATAAGCAAAGTTACCAAGCGCGAGTCGGAAATGAAGCATAGGTTAACGGATCAGTAAGCATACCGGTAGTAAGTATAACCGAGATACCGAGGACAAGGAATACCGAATAGAGGAATAGGCTGTGTTAACGTTATATGCACAGGAATGAATTAGGAAGCTTATCATATATCGGATCGGACCGGACCGGACCGGACATCCGGATGAGACGCGTGGATCTATGGGATATGACATTAGGGTGATGGGACAAAGGATGACTGATGCAGGCTAGCTGAGGTATGGAGGTAAAGGGATGTGGATGTGGATGTGGATGTGCAGGGGTGCGGGGATCCGGATGGATAGAGGACTGGAGACATGGATAGGGTGTCCGAAGGTCCGGATGAGGCGTGGGAATATTGTCGGATGTAGGTCCGGAATACGGGATATGACAGAAAGACAGGAAATCTCAAAAGATTCGGAATCCTACCATTCGCCTCCTGGTTCGGGAGTCCTATCGCATTGGTCGACTGATTGTGGCAACACAAGCCTCACGTGTGTCTCAATTGGCAACAAGGACACCCTGGGTGTTCGACTATCTTGCTGCCCATGGACACCTCATTGCGGCACAAGAAGATCATGCACCAGCCTTTCTCCAATATCTCCTGAATTTATGACACACTCTCGCATGGATCAGATATGCGGAAGAATGAAAAGAGTTGAGAAGTCACAGTCGACAATCAGCGCGAGGCCAAATTGGTGCTGTCCTTATGGGATCATCTGCAAAGATCCTCTATCCATGAGTTTATTGTAACGGTCCTCCTCTGGCACTTGCTGATCCTGCAAGTGATCTGAAATTTTTAACATCTGCAGAGGACATACAACATGAGACTCGGTTGTATTTCACTAATCTTTTTACCCGCCAGGACCACCCACCAGTACCAAAACCATGGTTGGACACACCATCGATACAGTCCATCCGTGCTCGAACATCACAAGACCCCTTCACCTGGCCAATGTTGATGAATGTCGAATCCTTGTGTGCTACACTTCACAAAGGAAAACCGTGCCCAAGCCCTGGACCCAACAGGTGGGAAAAATGGTGTGTCAAGGCTCTCAATGACACCGCAATCTGTGTTGTACTTCAGTTGGTAAATTATGAAATCCGTAACTCGCACTTTCCAGCCTCAGTCAAGCCAACACATATGACAACCATTTACAAACACAGCGGACCAACATCTCTCGCAAATTATTGAGGGATCAACCTGATACTGAATATTCCTTTTGCATGGCTCAACTCACTTCTCATTCCTTATCTAGTGAGACTACGAGTACTGCCAGACGGTCAAGTGGCCACACAGCCAGGTGTACAAGGACGAGACCTTACGTTGTCCCTCTCCCAGCTTGAAACCTGGTCAAACAGGCACCACACGCCACTATATCTCCTGCATCGAGACCAACAGAAATGGTTTGACAAACTAGAACCACAGGGTTTCTATGATGCCATCGCTGCCTATGGATTGCCACATGCAATTGTGGACTTTGATTTGTCCACACAGACTGAAGTCCCATACAGTATCCACATGGCATATGACCTTACGGAACCTTTAACCATCTCAAGTGTCACCAAACAAGGTGGACCAATATCCCCGCTGAAGTCTACACTCACAACAAGTCTTGGGAATCACTGGCTGCACAATTTTCTGGCTGTCAATAATGACGGCCTGGCCATATGCTCCCTGCAACACATGGATCACAGGGAGCATGTTGTAGGACTTGGAGTCCTTGTGGCCTTGTAGAGGCTCTTTTTGCAGCGTCCCTTAGGTCCTCGTGTTGCGTGTGCATCGGCTCGCACCCACGTCCCTTCGGTTCCATCGCGTGTCCTTCCCTTGTCCTATCCATGTCCTCTGCCGGTCCATTGGTGTGTACTTATCTCAATCTGCATTAGACTAACTTTATTACTGATGCTATATCATTTATATCCTCATTTCTTGCATTATGGACCCTTGTTACATACTACTGCTACCTACTCGGCTGTGAACAGCACTTAGATGTGCACATATATATTCATACTTAGAATTTTTTTTGTATCTATCTATCTCCCACAAGGAATCTATCACCTGTCTGCATGCATTAAGTCTCAACCTGAGTTTTACATGTATTACCGTGCGTGCGTCCCTAACGGCCATGTGAATGTCCGCCCCTTTCAGATCCACATATCCCTTAAATGCCCTATTGGTTCACCACCACACCGTTCTGCTTTCACACTTCATGGCTTTCACTTTTGTCTTTCCGCACAGCCACGCACTCCTGCAAGTCAATGTATCTTCGGCCACCTGGCCTTGTTTTGTACCGCGCTTTCAGTGGCTTGCCCACACTCACTTCGCATCGCGCCTTTCTCATTCTCAGTTACTTTTATTAGTTCAAAGATTTCCCCTCCATATTTTTACTTGAAGGAATCATTCTCAGTAGCAATCCCCTTGGGCCAAATCTATACTCGCATCCAGAGGTCTATTTGAGTTTTACCCCACTTCACCCTTTCTTCCCCTTTCATCCCTTCTCATCTAGCTATCATTCCTCTCACACAATGTACCCGCTGACCGCTTATCCCTCATCATCTATATGTGTGAGGCAACAGATGATTCTTTGATTGTAGCACAGGATCTCGCATCCTTGGAGCGTTCATGTCTGGCTATGGAACAGTTCCAGGCTGCTTATGGATGGCTCACTAACTGAGACAAATCTGCGCTGTTTTTTCTCAATGTCCCCGATCCTCCTGATTCCCATTCTTTGCCATCAGTCTCACGAACTAACCCAACCTCGCAGACCATATGCAAACGTTCAGTACATGTGGTTTATTTGCATGTCGAATTTCTATGTGTACAGATCAATGATCCAAATACTCAGTTCGCAAAGATATGTGATATCATTGTATCATTCACACTTCCACACCTCCCTTGTCAACTACCTCTAACGGTACTACATCGCATCATCTTGCAACACCTCATATCTCGTGTTCGCCCACTGTTAGCCTTTCAACCAATAAAAAGGACTCAGGCGGTTGAACTTGATCATCTTCTTGCTCAGCATATACATGAATATTATCACTTTCCCTTTCACTTTAATTCAGCACTTCTGTCCCTGCCTGTGGAATCATTTGGATTTGGTTTCCCCTCTATTTCAAGACTAAACAGTACAATCGCTCTGCAGGGAATGATGATCACCCTAGCTGATTGGATGTGTGGTCTGAACCACTGCGTCTATCCCCTCGACAGGCCATCTGTAGATCAGAGCTTTTCATGCTGCCGACACAGCTTGCCTTCACTCTGGATCACTGCACATGAGACACTACACTCTGCCAGTCTAACAGTCCCAATGACTGATCAGTCTTTCCTCTTGGGAGATGTTGCACTACAACACCTACTGTGTGCATGTCCATCTTCATCATTTCCACTTTCTTCTTATGATGTATTAACTCTTAAGACTGAAGGTTATCGTCACCTTAGTGGCTCACATGGACCTTCCTCGCCTTCGTCTTTGACTCTCTGATGCATCCCTTTGTTCAGTTGGGAGATGGCTACAATGTCTCAATGCGGATTCATTGTCAAATATTCACCTCGGCATGCAGCCAGAGCAACCAGCACTGATAGATCACTCCTCACTACTCTATCCTCTGGGCATTCAGCAATATCATGCTGAAGTTGCGCTATTAGGTGCTATGCATGTCAGCCAACAACTCCCGCATCAGCACCTGCTGGATTCTTTGATTGCTTGCGACAGCTCTATGATGCCTGCTCAAAGCACTCTGGATAGTGTGCGATCCGAGTGCTACACCGATCAGGTGTCTGGATATTGGATCTGGAAATTGGACAGATAGAGGACTGAAGGTCTGGAGACATAGATAGGGGATCCAGAGGTCCAGATGAGGCATGGGAACATTGTTGAATGTAGGTCCGGAATGCAGGATATGACAAGAGGTCAGGATCCCAATTCACTGAGTCTCGCTAGACATAGGCCAAAAACTCTGCTAAAGGAGGTAGCAATGAGGATTGCAAAGACATATTAGTCATACCAAATGATGTATGAGCATCTGACAAAGGGACAGGCCCTTGATATAAGCAAGGTTTGGGATGGCCCAAAGGCTGCTAGGGAGCTTGCTCGTCTTATTACCCTGGTGTAAATAAAGTTAAACACAATTAATCTTATTATACTTGGTAGCAGCTGTAAAATTGATAATATGTGACTAATATAGCACAATATATACACACTAATTTGCTTCATCTCTCTGTGATCTCACACCATTATTATCAAGACTTATTTATTACATATTCTGTAAGACAATTGCATGTACAGCATTCATTCAATTTTCCAGCAAGTTATAAAAACCCAGCTCTCATTAGAAATAAGGCATATGTATATAGCCATATTATATCAAATGATAAACTTCATTAGTATGGATATAACAAATCTGCTAGAATACGGAAGGTATTGGGTTTTACTATGCCTGAATAGACAATATTTGACCCTAAAACATCTCTAACTATGTTCTGACTCAAGAAATAGAAAGAAATAAAAGAAGAGTAAATGAGGTTCTGAGCCAAAGACAGAAAACTAGGTTTCAGAAACTATCTAATGGGCTGAAAAAGCTATATCTAGGAGATGCTACTGATTAATTTAAATTGATGGAAAGTATTTAACAACCAAAAACTAAATGCAAACAGTTGAAGACTATAGAGAAAGATAGAAGATAATTGTATAAGTGACAAAAATATAAATATAAATTAATGAAAGTATAAGTAAGAGAAGCTAAGTAAAAACTGTTAATGTGAGCCTAGAGAAACTTTAACTATGATAGTGCTTCACACTTATCAAATAAATCATACATGATTTACCTTATTAAGATGAAAAAATAATAATTTAAGTTTGATCCAACTCTATGTATCTCCTTAGTCTTAAAGACCTGCATTATAAGTAGTGACCAAGTGGAGATATCCATATATATCCTATGTATTTTAAAAATTCTATTTAATATGTTAGACAAATGTGAAAAGTTGACTATTTAGACAATGATAGTGCAAAATTTATTTGTAACCTCACAGATGTCTTAGATGACTTACTTAAATTGGAAGTTGAAAATAATTTGTTCTCACCTAGTACCGACCTGGTCTCTATACTATCAGTCTTGTCTCTTGTTGAAATTATACTTTATACATCTCAGGAAGACCTTAAATGTAACTCACACTTTTGCTTGGAAAATTCAACATACTTTCTAAAACCTGTTATCAAAAATATGGACCTAATTTGCCTAAGTATTTTCCCTAAACATTTATATATTGTTGATGATACTATGTTTTATGACCTTAATAAGATCTGCTTAATAGATGAAACAAAATAATGACTCTCTAAGCATATCATTGAGTTAGCCATTAATAGCTTGGATACCATGATATTATCATTCTATCATGGCTAGCATAGTTCATAGACCTTAATCCTATTGAGTATTTCTGGGAATGACTTAAGAAATAGCTTATAGCCTATCAAAATTCACTATAGGGACCTGACTGTCATTTGCTCTTATTATTGACATCACCTTCTGGAAATACAAGATCTGACAGATAGATGAAAGATTCTGATATCCTAGGAGGTAACTTGAGGTCATAATCAGCAGCAAATACATATATGATCTACTTTACTACTTGTAACCTTATGATATCTTTGAAATTTGCAGCTTTGATCCCTGGCTTGACTTCAACAGTCAGGATGATGAGCTACTTATCAAAACAGAGCAGAAGTTCTTCTGGTTGACCCAGAGTGGCAAGCTAGAGTACTTGGATAAAGTGAGGTATCTTTAGTTTTGAAATATAATGTTGGAGTAGTAGAGATGCTTATGTGAAATGAATAACAGTTTGTAACAACTTAGAATGATTGAATGTTAGTCTAGACTGTGTACTGGTATCATCTGAGTTAATGTTATATGTCCATACCAGCAAATACTGTAGTATAGTAGAGCAAGTCGTAGTCTGGGTCACAGTATCTGATTATGATATAGCACTTGGCTTACAAAATAATGAACCTAGAAATCAAACTTTTTTCAGCTGCATTACTGCTTCATTTTGAAGTTCTCTACTGCATTAGTCAGCCTTCTATTTGTTAGCCATCTTATTAGGTCTTTGACTAAGTACATGAGTTTAAAACTATCAGTTTACTATTCTTCTAGTATAGCTATAATCTGTTCACTATTATTAGTAAGTAATTGTCTGGTTAGCAACTTATATGAAAGTAATTGCCTCTACTACAATAGTGGGTTTTGTAAGTTAGCCAAGGAATAAGGCTAACATAGAAGTTAGTCTATATGTGAGTAAGTGGTGTGGTGTCAATTTTCTTTGTTCTCATCCACATCAGACATCTATCACCATAGACAACAGTGGACCTAGCTCTTCCTCTTTGCACACCCATCACACCATACCCTCTCACAGGTCTTTCAAATGAAACTCCTTTAAAGACACCTCCTTCTAATACTAACTATTGTGCTATCAAACAGCTTCATCCGACATGCTATACTTGTGCACTAAATTAGTGCACTCATCCTTAACCTGTTTGGGCCTACTTGCCCCTCACAGCTCACCTTTTGCATCCAGGTTAAGCCAACATTTTGGGCCAGAAAATCCTACAGGTTTTTGCCCCCAAACCTTTGTATACTTTACTGTTTTATTTATAGCTACTTTGGACATTTGAGCATTGAGACACATAGAGTTTAGATAGCCTTCTAGTAGAGAAAATAAATCTAGTGCAGGTTAGAAATATTTATAGCACATAACTCTTAATACTATAATAAAAAAATCATCTCTTAACATCACCCAAATACTAGTAGAATCTTCTTCATTTTTTTTGCCCATTGCCTACTCCATAGGGCTATCATTAGCTATATGATAATCTCTTTGAAGAATAAACTTCTGGTAATTCCAAATGTTATCATTCTATTGTTCTGTTGGTCAAGTATCAGGTGAATATCTCCAGAGGAGTACTTGCTTTACTAGAAGTCTATAGCAATAAGATCCAAAAACACTTAGTAGCTCTTACTGATTATAAATTGTTGGTTTCAGAATGACTTAGTAATTCATAGGGGCTATTTCAGCTATCAGACAGAGTTGCAGCAGAGTGAGGAAATATTGCTAAGAAGAAATACTCAAATTCAATAAAGAATATATCTTGAATAGTGGCAGAAGTGATTAGAGCAAAAGAAGGTCATACAAAATACTATAATTATAGCAATCACATTACTTGAACTTCAAGTCAAAAAGTGTTCTAATGAGTCATCAAATAAAAATGATTAGATCTTCACACAATCTCATTATCTTACTATGCTATAGGGGTCAAAAATAATGCTAAGAAGCAGAGCTTTCCAACATCTCCATATAGCTTGGTTATATTTCTATATTCTAACTCATATTAAATCAATTATATTTAAAACTAACCTTTTTTAAGCTACTGTATCTAGGTATAAAATAAATAGCAGAAAGGACAATATAGGACACAAGGTGTATGAGAATAATAATAAGGATGTCTAAAAGTAATATCTTAATCATAACTCCTAATGTAAGGCAAGCTATTGCACCTAGCTTAAGTAGTGTTAGAAATATAAGATAAAAAACAGAAAAAATATATAGTAGTTTATAAATTTCTGACAGTATTTCTAGGTCTGAAATAAATAAGATAACTAAAATATGTATATATCCTAACCTGCAGTGATATGCCTAGAAGATTAATGATTACTTAGTGTCAAATCATGCTTGAAATGATAGCTAGCCCTAAGAAAAAGAGAGATAAGTACATATTGGGTGAGTAATTCCTAGTTAGTAAACAAGATATTAAATGATATAGCAGGCTAAGGGCTAAGTAGGTCTAGCCTGCTGCTGTATTTGTGCTATCAATTTCCTAACCTGACCCATCAAAGCTTCCATATAATACAAAAAACATCTGGCACCAACAAATTTTTAAGTCTACAGTAAAGAAAATCATAATATATATAGTGAACAAGGCTTCTTTGTTGATGAGGCTGGAAAGAAAGGCATTCATTTAAGAGAAGTTAGCAAATGTATTTCTAGTTTTCTAATGACTAAAACTTCATTGTGTATTAGCAAAGTTCAGACAAAAATGGGCTACATTCAATTGCACATACATTATATCTGATGTTATCCAGACCCTGTAGGTCTATCATGCATACATACAAGAAGATTACACAGGCCAATACATAGCATAAGTTCTGTTTTTATTCTCTACTATAGCTGGCAGTATTTGAACTAATGTAGGGAACCATGTTTCTGTAGCTTTGTAATAGTTCATTTTATGATGCACATCAACTGCTAATCATTGCCCAAATCACACTCTATTACATTCAACTCAATATGCATCAAATCCAAAAACACTGGATTTCACATTGGGTTCTACATTAGTTTATTGGATATCATATGCATTTGTTCTACCTATGCCCTGTCCCATTCTGCTAGCCCTGCTAGATGTGTAGTTCAATATTTTGTACATTACTTATATTGTAGATAGTGTGATTACATGTTTTACCACAGTCTGCAGCACCTTATGTCTGATTACATAGAACATCAGACCCAATATTTTGCTATTACTTTCACCTATACATTTCCAGATTTCTACATACATACATAAATATTGGACTGACTCACAGTATCACCCATCATCCAAATAGAGGAGAGGAGTTTCCTCTTATACTTAAGGGTCAAACCTAATATTTTATAGTTCTTAGTTGAACATCATCATTCCTTCATCTGTAGCTATTATTGTTAAGGTCACATGCTCAAGAGGGTCGGATCAAAAGGGCTTGGCCTCAGCTCATGTGCTATGCCCCTTTCCCAAGTAAGTGCCCTTAATTTCTGGATGCTGGAAATGTCATTTGTAGTTTCTGAAATATGATAAGATGGAAATCCAGATATCTGGATATGAAATATGAGATAAATCTGGTAGATGTCCAGAAGTTGGATATGCAAGCAGATAAGGCTAATCTGGACAAAGTTCAAACTAGAAACTAACAGAGGTAAGACTACCTTAAGGTAGTGCTAGATATATAGTCTAGGATAGAATCCTAAGACTTGGAGATGACAAGAGAACTAGCTTAAGTCCAGAAGACAGAGGAATGAGTAGGAACTAAAATAATATTCGAACTGAGGTGTTTCCATGAGTTACAGGGGTTTATATACTATAGGTATCAGTCAGCAGAACATAAGGCTATGTATGAAGCATATGAAAAATTTATTAGTAAGTATAACAGATCACAAAGAATCCATATTGGAAATAAAACATAGGTAAGAGCCTGTTCGGCAATAAATATTTGGCTGATATTTGGCAATATTGAAATATATTCCTCGGCATCGTCCAGAATGTCTCATCAGAGCTTTAACTTTCCTTGCCTCATACTGTACATATGATGAGTTTCTACACCTACCCTGTTGATATACAACAATGCAATAGACTCATTGCTAGGTGCCATTGTGATCACTGCGATCTATGCACAATACACCACCCTGATCATGGCTCAACCAGAAGCTCACCACAATACTATGAAGTCCCAGCCTGCGCACTGGATAAATGAGGAGATCACCGTCCTTGTCAATCATATGCATGACCATCGCACAGACAGTGAAGGCTCCGGTAACTTCAAGCCACAGGTCTACACTTCCGCTGTAACGGCCATCAATGATGATCCTCACCTTCAACCAATATGGATCGGTCCAGCAAAGACCATCAAGATGGTGAAGAGCAAGTAGGTATTAGTGCGTCCAAGTCTGTCCTTTCAATCAGTTCACTGATCAAATGTTTTTAGCTCAAGACTATACACTATGCTATCGATAAGTACCGCAACCAGACTGGTACACATTGGGACAACATCAATGGAGCTGGGATTCATGGCTCCGCAGCGGCTGCCGTATGGGATGCATATGTTGCAAACAAGGTACATCAGCCTCACTATTTTTTTTAATTCAAAGCTAATATACAATAGCATAATCATCCTATGCGTCCATTCCGCAACACTGGGTGAGTTCACTATGAGAAAATGCAGGAGATCTTACCCCTAGGTGGTGCTCAAGGGTGCCATGCCTTCCACCCAAGTGTCATGGGTCCTCCTCCATCAATCCCCAACAATGATGAGGTTAAGGCTGGCCCTTATCGGGCTCCAGCCAATCGCACTGGCCCTACCTCTACTGCCAGTCTTTTCTCTACCACTGGCCCTTCCTCTACCACTGGTGTTCCCTCTGTTGCTACCAGCTCTACCAGTGCCAAGCACCCTTATGAGGGCACCACCATCGATTCTCTTGAGACCAGGTCCCTCACATCAACTCATGAATCAGCGCAATCTGTCTCCACCACCCTGGTGTCTGCCCCCCCCTTAAAGATAGCACGTTCACAGGGCGGCACTTATATCTCTAAGAAGACGAGCAACACAGCGAAGATGAGCAGTGCCACACAGGCAGCCAAGATCATACCTGCTGCTGCTGTGTTGGGAATGCAGGGTACTATCAACCATCTGACAGATGTCTTCGAAAGATTCGTTCAGGGCCTCAATGAGAAGGGGGGCATGCAGCTTCTGCCTCCACCTCCGCCTGGGCCTGGGAACAGCCAGGACTTGGTGGTGTGCGCCGTACACCTATTACAAATAGAGGATGCTGACATGCCTCCTGAGCAGCACGCTGTACTGATAATGGTCCTCGGTGAGAAGAACAATGAGCGCTTCTTGGAGTTCTATGTCTCCCTCACAGACAAAGCAACCAGGTGTCCATCCATAGAGAAGCTGATCACAGATGCAATGGCATCTTGAGAATCTTTCTAAGTCCCCATTATCGTTGTACATGATGTTGCCTTGTTCTTTTACCGCTCACTTTTGTTTTCATGTATGTACAATACCATGACTGTCACAATAGAATGAATTTGGAGGCTACATGTAGTACTAGGACTGAATTATTTGAAAGCAAAAGCATCTTCACCTACAGCATCATCAACAATGTCCTCATCAACAACATCTTCATCAACAGCATCCTCATCCGCATCCCCCTCATCCTCATTGCGGTCCTCATCCATATCCTCTTCATCAAGGTCGGCACCTTCAAAAGCACGTTCTAGCAAGATGCACTGATAGTTAGCCCACATTGCAGATGCAATGTGATCCCGCATCGCAGATCCTTGACGAAATTCGAGTTTGTCGTCTTCTTCAACAGCAGCAATGTCGTCTTCTTCAACGTTTCTACCAAAATATCCACCCCGCCAATCTTCGTCGTTGTTATTGCCATCGTCGTCGTCATTGGTGAGGGACTCAGCAGGATCATATTCACGGATGAAGTTATGAACAGCGCACAGTGTGGCGGGAATTCAAGCTTGTATATCCATGGCATATGCAGGTGACAACAACAAGATCTGAAAACAATGTTTCAAAATGCCAAAGATATGCTTGACAACATTTTGTGCCAATGCATGTCATAGATTGAACAATTCCTCTTTATTTGCAGGCCTGTGGTGCTTAGGATAAGTTTGAAACATGCCCAGAATCAAGTAAGAACTTACCTGGTGTTTGGGCGTCCCCATTCAGCGAGGTGGTAACGCACACCTCGGTATGGTACAAGTATGTAAGGACTACTGAGCGGTTGACGCCGGAAATAGCCGAAGTAACGCTCACCTCTACCATCACCATCGAAAACTTCAGCACGGACCTCGTCATCATCCTATCCTTGTTCCCCATCAATGCCTCGTATAATCGACCCTTATTATTCTCGTCTCCGTTATCCTGCTCGCAGCCGAACCGCCGAAAACTGTCAAACCCATGCGCACTCTCGTTATCCTGTCAAACCATACCCATTCATACCTCCGTTTGCTCATTTTCGTACTCTTTCGCGCTACATCTACTCTACCTTCTCGGACGCGACGATTCTACCTTCGGACTCCGTTTTTCGCATTTAATTTCGGCCTAGCCATCGATAAGGACCCTTACTATTCTAAAGTATAAGTAGCCCATGTACAGTCCATACTGATAGGCAATCATACCCAGTCTCGAAGTCTCACTCTCGCATTCATTGATATAACTATAACTATCGTCTCAAAAAAAAACGTCTCAAAATCATCACATTCCTTATTGTCTAACATTCGCTGATAGCTATCTACTCTTTAGCGCTCGTATATCCTCCAGCGGTCTCCACACCCCTTCGCACTCGCGAGTCGTACGCCGACTTACATATTGGAGCCCACCGCGAGGGGTGTGTTCCAGATCTCTTGACCTACCCTAGCGCATCCCACTCTCCCTCACCATCCACGCTGGCTCACGCTACAGACGACCACGCTGTTGCAGGCCCCTCGACTCCTCAACCAGAACCAGTAACACCACTGAATCCTATTCCCCGTCCAATCCGCCACAGAAAATCAGACGACTCAGATGAGGCCGACGACGAGGACGAGAATCCGTTCGCGCCGAACAACCATAGATCATCACGTCCCACTGTCGCAACGTCATCACAACAACCTTCATTCACATTCCAGCACCCACAACCGTTCATTTTGAGACCAGCCGTCTTCACTAACACTCAAGCTCGAGCCACGACCCAGCCAACCGCCATCATGTCCCACGCGCATCGAGGCATAGGTGCTATGCCTGGCCCTAACTCTAGTAAAGTGCCGCTCTTCAATGGCGAAACATCGGAGTTGTTAGATTTTTTCGAGTTATTTGAAGATCTCGCGTCTACCTATGGTCTAACCAGCGCTGACAAATGTAAATGTCTAGTGCGATACGTGGATCTTCCGACCAAGCATTTCTGGATAACGCTCACGGGTTTCGAGAGTCGGGAGTACAGCACCTTTAAGAGGAGCATCCTAGGCCACTATCCAGGTGCCAGCAAGGGTCAGCGTTATACGGTTCGAGAGCTCGAGCGCATCGTCGTCAATCAAGCTGATAGTGACATCAACACGGAGAAAGAGCTTATGCAGTACTACAGTCAGTTTCGAGCTGTCGCTGTCTGGCTGGTCACCAACAGCAAGATCTCTGCACGAGACCGTGATAAGTACTTCTGGCAGGGGTTACCCGTTCGTGCTCGTTGTCAAATCCTTCAACGACTTGAGCTCAAGGATCCGGATTTTAATCGCAACGAGCCAGCTCATTTTGAGAAGGTCGTTGAAGCAGGCCGTCATGTTTTCTCGGACGAGGCATTTGATGCTGAATTCAACGATCCCATCACCCTTCGCATTCAGTCCATTCGTCGCACTACCCCAGCTCCTACCAACAATCGTCGAGCCCAAGATCATCACATATATGACTCGGACAATGATGATGAACCTCGTAATGCTCCGCGAGAAGTTCAAACGAAGACCGTGCGCTTCACACCCCCTCAAGTACCTGTTCAAGCTGCGCAAAAGTCCACTATGGATGAGGTCGATGCACTCGCTAGACAGATGCATAGTCTCGATATCGGGGACATTAATTATTCATCATGTTATACATGGCTCATTTGGATAGCTCCTGCTGCTGCTAATGCCTGGGCTGCTCCTAGAACTCGACAACTCTGCAATAACGTGTCTGTAACCACTCCAGTACCTGCCAGTACTCCGCGTGCCCCCATACAGTGCGCATTCTGTGGACAATCTCATTATCTTCGTGTTTGCCCCACAGCAGCAGAATATCTTCGCACTGGGCGCATCATCCGCGAAGATCTCTTCCTTCTCAATGCAGACAGATCACGCATCCAACGACAAGGTCTCGAGAACTTGCAGCAAGCTGTGGATAGACATGCCAAGACCATCACTTCATCTGCTCCGTCTTCGAATCCTCCTCCCTCGACCATACCATCTAGCGCCTTTATATCCGAAAGCTACTTCCTTCAATGTATCCAAGTCGCAGAGAACCATGCCACAGTCACGACGATTGAAGATGACAACTCAGGTGCAGATGCTCTTGCTATCACTCGGTCGAAGGCGAAAAACGCGGTGCTTGATAATATAGATGCAGGACCATCCCAGAAGAAGCTTAAGGAGGCTACTAGTACTTCGTCTGATACCCGGGCACAAAGTCAAACTCGTTCCATCGAAGATCTCATTCCTGATACTCCTGCAGTTCCCCCAAAGAAAACTCCTGCATACGTTTACGAGTCCAAAGCAGCCACTCCGGATGCAGCCTCTCGCATCTATCAAAACATGCTCAGCACTATCATTCCGAATATCACGGTCGCTGACCTTCTTGCAGTAAGCCCAGACCTTCGACGAGAAGCTGTAGAGCACTGCCGCACGCACCGGGTATCCACTCCGTCGTCCGCTAACACCCTTACCACTACTGCATCTGTTCCACCACCACAAATTGAGCATGCCACACCCCTTCGTGAGCTCAAAGTTATGCTTAATGGTGTCCACACGGAAATGGCATTGCTGGATGAAGGTTCGGAGCTCGTCGTTATTCGAGAAGATGTTTGGAAGCAGACTCAAGCCCCAATCAACAAAAACATTCGCATGCGCATGCAGACTGCGAACAGAAGCTCCCAGGACATGGCTGGATGTCTGGAGATGCTTGAGATCGATGTTGATGGTATCAAAACGTGGGCCCATGCCTATGTTATTGCTGATGCTCCATATCGTCTGCTTTTAGGACGTCCGTGGCAGCGGCTCGTTCGGTTGTCAAAGTCAGAAACGGCGGACATGGTCTATGTTACCATCCACGACCCTACAGACATCATGCGAGTTCGAACCTGTGCTACCCTTCCCCGTCCTCCACCTTCCTTAACTTCAGCCATGCTCTCTGCAGCAGCCTTCAGTAACTCGTTATCGGCCGAAAGTCCACCTCCTGCAGTTGCGCACCTAACAGCCAGCCCTCTTGCTGAATGTTTGTTACAGGAATCGTTCAACTTTGACCCTGTACGACGAGTCCTCGCCTATAAAAGGGTGGCCAATCGAGTCAAGCCTGTCGCAACCACCATGCCAGCTCATGCTCGTATTGTTCGACGTTTTCCTGAAGAACCCCTCCTATCCCTTCCCACAGTCTCTCCCAATCCTCCTGACTTCGTATTGAGCACTCGACTCACTACAGACCGCGTGAATGATCTTGGAATTTTTCAGAACTCCTTTTTATGGCCCGAAGAGCAGAAACTAGTAGCGCACGTTCTATCTCTCAATGAGTTGGCCTTAGCATGGGACGAGACCGAGAAAGGGAGATTTCGAGACGATTATTTCCCGCCCGTCGTAATTCCCACTATAGAACACACTCCCTGGGTCCATCGGCAGCCACCCATCCCTCCAGGGATCCACGATGAAGTCATTGCCCTCATTAAGTCGAAAATCGTGTCTGGGATCTATGAACCGTCCAATAGCTCCTACCAGTCAAGCTGGTTCTGCATTGCGAAGAAAAACGGCTCAATTTGCATAGTTCACAACCTTCAGCCACTCAATGCGGTCACAGTCAAAGACGCAGCCACCCTCCCTTATGTCGAACTATTCGCAGAACAATCAGCTGGACGTTCAATTTATACTATGATGGACTTGTTTGTTGGTTTTGATCACCGAGCCCTAGCTGAAGAATCCCGCGACCTCACCACCTTCCAAACCCCACTCGGAACATTTCGACTCACAGCGCTACCTATGGGTTGGACAGATTCTCCCGCAGTCTTCCAAAATGATGTCGCATTCATCCTTCAGCACGAAACCGACATAGCCCCCAATTTTCAGGATGATGTCAACGTTCTTGGACCTCGGACGCGATATGAACTCTCAGATGGTACATTTGAAACCATTTCCCAAAACACCGGCATACGACGATTTGTTTGGGAACACTGCTTAGACGTCAATAGAGTTTTACAT